ACAGAAGAATGGTTAATAATCGAATTCTAACTCTAATTTCATCTTTGTCTTTACACGGAAGAAAACATTTTAGGAGGTCAAATAACCTAGACCAAGGACAGTATTTTCCAAGAGCCTAAAGGAGCACCCTTTCCCTTTAACTGGTTGGCTTTTTGAAGAATGTTGTGTGCACAGCCACTAGATTAGAGGATAATCTTCCCTAGACTGGCTTGACCCATTTAGATGATAGCTCCTTCCATCACATGTGCTTCATTAGTAATCAGCACTCAAAATTATTTGTGGTATACTCTATCTAGTGTTATCTGCAATTCTGGATTTTTTTACCAAGACTTTTTTTTTTTTTTGCATTAAAAGAATTTGTAAGAAATGAGGCAGATCTACATGTACTAACATAGGTAAACTCCCTAATAAATGATAGAAGAAAAAAGCAATTTTCAGAACTATATGTACATATAAAATGCTACCGTATGTTAAATACTATATACACAGGAGACAGGAAAAAGCCAAGAAGAATATATATCAATTTCAAAACAGTGGCTACTAATGAGGAGCGAGGAGGGACCCAGACTTTCTTTTGGTGGGGAGAGACATTAAAAGGACCTAAACCTTATTCGTAACATTTGACATTTTAAAAGGAGAATGTGTTTGCCCTGACCTGTGTGGCTCATTGGTTGGGTGTCATCTTGCAAAGTGAAGGGTCCAGGTTCAATTCCTGGTCAGAACACATGTCCAAGTTGAGGGTTCAGTCTCCGGTCAGGGAGCATATGAGAGGCAACTGATTGATGTTTCTCTCTCACATTGACATTTCTCTCCCTCCCTTCCCCTCTCTCTAAAAATAAATAAATAAAATCTTTTTTAAAAATAAAATTAAAATTAAAGGAAAATGTGTTCATGCATTACTTCCATAATTAAAATATAACTTAAAAAAAAAAGAAAAAGGGCCCTGGCTGGATAGCTCAGTTGGTTAGAGCATCATCCCAACACTCCAATGTTGCGGGGTTTGATCCCTGATCAGGAACATAGAAGAATCAACAACTGAATGCATAAATAAGCAGAAAAACAAATTGATGTGTCCCTCTCACTCTCCCCACCCCTCCTCTCTCTTTCATATCAATAAAAAAGTTTAAAAAAAGAAAAGAATGTTTTGTGGGTGTTAATACTAAATTTAAATATGAACAATCTCTAATGACTACTTTATCTGTCTAGCACCTGCCTCTCATATTCCCCAGCCATACCGCTTACCTTTCCTGTGCTCTTCTACCTGTTTCCACCCCTATCCCCAACTGCCTATAGTAACTCTTATTTAAGGAAACAAAAACCAGCCCTGGCTGGTGTGGCTAAGTAGATTGAGCACCAGCCTGTGAACCTATAAGATTCCTGGTTCAATTCCCAGTCAAGGCACATGCCTGGGCTGTGAGCCAGGTCCCTGGTTGGGGGTGTACGAGAGGCAACACATCAATGTTTCTCTTTCTCCCTTTCTCCCTCCCTTCTCTTCTCTCTAAAAATAAAATAAAATAAAATAAAATCTTAAAAAAGAAAGAAAGACACAGAAACCATCAAAGTTCCTTCATCCTTCCATCTATAAAACCACCTGCTTTTGTGCCACTTTTCTTTTTCCTCCTCCTTCTAGGATGAAATGTCCCTTCTCTTAGCAGCATTTTGCACTTTCTCTCATCATTAAAACCAATGAATGGGGGACTTCCACTTGCTTGTGATAATCCTACCACTGTAGCTGGTCCTTAATCTCTTTTGTCTCCTTTTTCTCTGTTAAATGAGGTGTTGTTTTTTTTTTAAGAGTTCTACACAAGTCCCCTTTTTTTCTCTGCTCTCTCCCTAAGTGACTTTATCCATTCCCACTGTTTCAAGGTGCTGAAAAACTCCCAGATAGAAATCTCCAGCCCAGATCCCACAGAACTACAGTTTTATAGGCTCAATTGCTTCTAACCCATACCTACTTGGTAGTTTCGCAGACATCTCAAAGTTACCATGTTCAAAACAAATCTTGATTACCACCCAGCCTCTATACCCATTCCTCCCCAAGTTGCCCCCAGTTCAGGAAATGGCACTACCTTCCATGTAGCTGGTCAAACCAAAAACCCGGGAGTGAGCATTCTTGATTTCTTCTTCCTTGGCCTTCACATTCATTCTTTAACAGTAAATCCTATCCATTTTACCAAAATTTGTCCACTTCTTGCCACCTCCTCAGGTCTCTAGGTCCAGCCACCACCTATGGGTCCTGAATTATTGTAACAATCTCCTAACCAGTCTCTTACTTCTGTCTGGTCAAACCTGCCAATCATTCTCCACAAAGCCATCAAAGCCATTTTTTAAAAATGTGAATAGGGCCCTGGCTGGGTAGCTTAGTTGGTTAGAGCATCATCTGGACATGCCAAGGTTGCTGATTCCATTCCTGGTTTGGGTGCATACAAGAATCAACCAATGAATGCATAAATAAGCAGAACAACAAACTGATGTCTCTTTCTCTCTCTAAAATCAATACACTTTTTAAAAATGTTTAAAAATGTTAATAGGAACAGATCTCTTTAAAGCCATCAAGGATCTCCCAATGCTTCTACAATAAATACTCAACTCCTTACCTAGGTCTATAAGGCCCTGAATTATTAGGCTCTGTTTACCCCTCCAACATCATCTCCGCTCACCCATTCTTCCCCTTTTCCAGTTCTCAATCACACAAAGCTCTTTATCTTCCTATTTTAAGGACTCTGCATATGCTTGTTCTTCCTGTTTGGAATGCTTTTCCCAGACCCAATCTTCAAATGGCTACTATTTTTCATCTGTCAAGCATCAACTTAAATGTTCACTAATTCAAATAGGTTCCCTCCTACTTCTTTTTAAAATCATAGTAGCCTGTTCATTTCTTTCTCAGCATTTCCCATCTTGTAATCATTTGACTGTTCATTTCTTATTGTCTAACCTCACCACCAGACTGGAAACTATGTCTACTATATTCACCACTGAATAGTCAGTGACTAGCACTTAATAAATGCTCAGTATTTGTTGAAAAAGAGAAGGCCACCCCATTAGGAAAGTCAGTGAGATTTGAATTGTGTATTACAGAATATTGCTTTACCATGTCATTATCAACCACATAATAAGGTATGAACAGGTATCTCCAAATGAGGCTAGATTCAAGGACCACACTTAAAAAAAAAAAAGGAACATGTTTCAGTGCCCAATATAAGCATAGTCATGAGGGTGGTGTGGGGTGAGGGGGAGAGAGGCTTTAGCAAAGGACTGGCAGGGAACTACTGTGACAGTTGGTTCTCTAATCAATATTTTGTGGTGGGTAGAGTATCTATCTGAGTTTACTACATTTTACAGATGACAAAGTTGAACCAAATTAACCTTTAAAAATCATGATGGAAACACAAGCCAGCTTGGTTCCTGCACTCTTCCCTTTTTAATTCTTCTTCCCCATCCCAGTGTCCTTGGGCTATCTATCAGGCAATGAGTAGCAGTTTATCAAGTTTGCCTTTGGATCCTTCAAGACTCAGCTTCCTATTATTATTTTTTTTCTTAGTAGAATCCTGTACCTTTGAAACTAGCTTGTTAGATAAATTAATCTTTCCTAAGGTAATAACTTTCTAATAATTTGAAGTTTAACAAGGCATTCTGAAAACATACTGCAACTATAGAAATGACAGACTCTACCACAGCAAGCCAAAGTAGAATTTAATCTTTGGGCAGACTGTTCAAATGACAGTTCCATTGGCGGTAGTTATTATTATTACTACTGATTTATACAAACTGTTCTTTAGATATGACACACATTCTCTCATTTGATTGTCATAACATCCTAGTGACACAAGAGAGACAGTTATTGTAGTTTTTTTTTATAAACAAGGAAACGCCTTGATAATCATAATTCAGGAGTCCAAATCTTCTTCCTCCATCATTTTGGCTCGTTTGTTGTTTACTGAAACTCATGTTGAGGGGAAGCTTTGTCATGAATGAAACTGGTCCTACAACTCTCACCCTGGCTCATGTTCAGGGTCTCAATCTGTCTTACTCTGGATAATCTCAAGTAGTTTTTGTGTGTTGGTGAAATGCTGACCATAAAAAGAAATATTCCTACAAATTTTCTCAGTAACAGTTTTAGTGTAGATTAAGGAAATTAGAATTCCAAAATATTCAGTGATTTCTATTAGTCCTAGACCATACTATCTTTTTCTTTTTGTATCTGAGAGGCTTGGAAAAATGGTATTAAGCATCTTTAACTGGGGTTTATATCTGTAGATTGATAGTTAAAATTCAAGGTTTCTATCTCTTAAGGGAATAGAATAGACAGCAGACTTGGCCCTCTACCTGGTGCACAGGTATTCATGACACATGTGACACTGAAAAGTGATCAGTGAGAGGGCTATCTCACACCACCCTGAACAGCCCTTTAGGAAATAATGGGTCCTTAGTAATTTGCTTCTCTGGATGTTTAACTATACCTGTTTGATCTATCCATTGAACTCTTGATGGTTTTAAATACTGCCTCTCATGTATCGTGTTAAGATGCACTAATAACCAAGACCTTAAGGTGACAACAAAACACACCTCTGACACATCGCACAGGTTATTCTCTGAGGGACAGATAGATGAGTTTTCCCGAAGTTAAAAAGAAAAGGGAGTATCTACTCCTGACAGATGCTGGATCATAAGGAGTAAGATTCTGTGCTTTGCACTCTCTAGACTATAAATAGAGTAAAATAAATGCTTTCCAAGGAAATTTTACAATTTCTTTACTGAAAATTAAAAGACTTTTTAATGCCTCAGTTTTGAGTGTTTTCCATAGGGGCTGAGAAAAGGTGCTGGGCCAGAATTACCGGGTAGGGAGGATCTGGACACGGCGACGCAACTGCCAGCCCTTCGCTCAGCCCAGCAGGGTCGCGGACCAGCCCTCAGCCTGCGCCCAGCCAGAGCCCAGCCAGAGCCCAGCCCCAGCCCCAGCCCCAGCCCCAGCCCACGTCCCGCCCCCACATTATCAGCACCTGCGCCTGCCGCAGCGCCTTCTCGTCTTCTTCCTCTTCCTCCTCCTCCTCCTCCAAGGCCGCAGCTGCCGCCAGAGACCCTAAGAAGTCATCGCATTCGTCCTGGGCAACCCGTGCTCCGGTGTTGTGATTTACCGGGGTTTGGAAACTGAACACCGCCGGCTTCGCCGCTTGGTGCGAGGCGGCTGTCAGCACGCCCAGGCCTAAGCGCCCGCGCTGGCCCGGGACAGGAAGGTGGGGTGCCTTCAGGTTACCCAGCGGCGCCCCGCTTGGGGCGGGCGGTTACTAAGGACGCTACAGGGACCGAGAGGGGCCAAAAGTCACTCAAATCCCCCGCGCTGCAGACGACGCAAGGCGGGCGACTCCTGCATAATGAGAGCCAGTGCTGAGTCTCTCCTGGTTTAGAGAGTTAGTGGGCAGAAAAAGGCACCTCTTGCCCAGCTTCGCGCCTCACTGCCTTATCTCAGACTTCTCACATTATACTATGAAACAATTCGTTTTGTGGGGGAGGGGGGCGGGGGGGAGCGCATTTTCTTTATTTTTAAAAAATTTTATATACTTTTTAGAGAAAGGGGAAAGGAGAGAGAGAAGAGAAAAATCTGTTGCCTCTCACATGTTCCCAACCAGGGACCCGGGCCGCAACCCATGTGCTCTGACTGGGAACCAAACCGGCAACACTTGGGTCTGCAGGCTCAATCCACTCAGCCACACCAGCCAGGGCAGAACGCATTTTCATTCATTCAAATAATATGTTACCAACAGTTAGAAGGAGATAGCAGTGGCAGAGGAAAGCAAGGAATGTTATTTTGTGGTGGCCTCAGAGCAGTGTGACAAAGTTTGCATCCTGCTACCTGACATGCCTCCCTCCCTTCACTCCCCAGCCAAAGAAAGCAAAGGAGTGTGGTACATTTTATTCTGATTTAACAGCTAGCAGAAATCGACTGATCCGAAGGAGTCTGTAAAGTACGTGTTTATCTTGGTCTGACCCATTATAAGCCCAGCTCGGTGGAGCCTGGCCCACCCACCACTGAGGGACAGTTCAGGTGTATGGACTGGGCATTTGCTGGTTGGGTTCATCAACTTTATGGTGGTGGGGTTGGAAGGTGCAAGCGCCCAACAGTAACCAAAGACACACCCCACCTCCACCTTACCCCATCATTTCCCACTCGAGATTTGGGTGCTTCAAATAGCACCTTCCTTCTACACCATGTGTCTGTTAAGAGAGACTTGAAAATAGGCTGGTGCAGTCTCAGCCACCTTCTACCTAAGCCGATACTTTCTGAGGCTGAGGCTGCTGCTGCTTTCTCTCCCTATCCTTTAGCTTCCTCTTGCCCCCACCATATACTCCACCATCACCATAATAAAGTTAGGGTATGCAGCATGTGCTGTCTAGAACCCTTTTCTGGGTTCTGAGCCATTTTTACCAAGCCTTTGTTGTTCTCAGGTCTGCACTGTGAGCATCTGCAAACCCCCCCACTCTCCTATCTCCTTCAAGTTGCTCTTGGTTTGACCTGAGATTTGCTTTGCACACTGAACAAGTGTGGCCATAAAAGGGACTTCCTGTCATTCGCTTGCAGCTGGTTCTGTGCCTCGCGGGATCTGGTGTAAACCTGACCCGAAAACAACAAGACAGGTCTGCATGATGAAGCACAAAAGACTAGGCAAGGACAGGACAGGACAGGACAGGACGAGTGCAGGACAAGTTTGTGTATGTATTAAGCTGAAGTTTCCATTCACCAGTAATATTCTAATTTTCAGATACTTGATAACATAGCCTCAAAGTATAAAGCAGAAGTGGACAGATCTAGAAGAAGAAAAATGACATCTTAAATCAGGAAAAATTGTTTTTGCACTTGTGTATTGAGATGTTACACAGGGAAATGAGATCTTAAATGTATAGTTGGATACATTTTGACAAGTGCATACTCATGAAGGCATAACTCTACTAAGATATAAAACATTTCCATCATTCCAGGAAGATCCCTTGTGCCTTTTTGAGTCTGTTCCCCATTCCATCCCCTTTACTGTTCAAGAACTCCATATAAATGGAACCAGGTAGTGTGTACTCTTTTCTGCTCTCAGCTTATTTGCTTGGCATACTGTTTTTTGATTCATTCATGTTGTATACATCCATGAGTAGTTTGTTCCTTAATTGCTAAATAGTATTTGCTGAAATAAGTTTTCCAATATTGGCAGAATTTTTTGTGTGCTTGCATAATGTGACAGTTACAGACAAGGCATACTCGTAATCTGCACTATTTACATTGTCTTCATCACTTTCTGAAGTTTATCCATGCACCAAATGATCACTGATGATCATTTGGGTTGTTTCCATTTTGGGGGCTGTCATTTTGGGTCTGTCAGGAAGCAGACACCTCAAGGAGTTAGAAGTGCAAATTTATTGGTGGAAATTCCTATGAAAAATAAAAGGAGAGGAGTAGAGAGAGGAGTAGGAGAGTCTTCAGGCCAAGGTACAGATATCTTAGAAAGGAGAAAGGAGAGGGAGAATAATACAACCTAGTAAGAAAAAACAAAAACCTAAAAGTAGTACAGAAATACCCAAAGAAAGTAGAAAATAAGCACAGAAATTGAAGAAATGGAAGACAACAGTGCCATAGCGAAGATTTGAGCCCTCTTACCAAGTCTTTCTTGTTCACTGCTCTGCAATATCTTCCACTTCCCCAATAGAAAAGAATGAAGCTAAAATTAATTCTTTGAAAAGACTAATACAGACTTCTGAGCAAGATGCTGGTATAGGTAAACACAGTACTTGCCTTCTCCCACAACCACATCAAAATTACAACTCAACTATAGAATCATTCAGAACTGCCTGAAACCTGGCTGAATTGAAGTCCTACAACTAGGGAATTAAAGCCACACTGAGACTGGTTGGGTGAGGTGGCGCAGGGCTCTGGATCTGAGGGTCCCTGTTCAGACGCCAGCTGAGGCAGAGGTCGGACTCTGTCCTGCAAAATATGCCCCGAGTCATCACAGATGGGGAAATAAATTGTCCCACTTTCCTCAGTCTGCCAGAGGAAAGGGGTGGCACTTCCCTCCAGTGGAGAAGGCCTCTGAGCCCATCTTGAAGTGGCTTTTATTGAGAACCATTTGCGCAGGGGTATACAGCATGGATGCAAAGCTCATCCATCAATGTCTAAAGGCTATGTTTACAGAAAACAAAGAGATCATAGATAACAACTGAAGGGACACAGGAGATTTGTCTCAGGTTAGGGTTTGGGAAACAGGGCACCCATTCAGCCCTGAAACCTGGGAAATGGATCATATTCTATGCTCAACCCCAATCACCAGTACACATTAACTCAAGGCATTCTTAGCAAAGTTAGTTTCATAGGATTTAACACATTCCTTTTCCAGGCCTCATTGTCCCTGAGAACCACCTGGTCCAGTTCAAGGCTGTCTAGTATTGTTTCAAGCCTGAGCCAGGTGGGTGGGGCAAAGCAACCAATAGATAAGGAGACTTCTTTCAGATAGAATGAAGACTCTGGCCGTATCAAAGCTGAGGGGTGAGGGTCTTTTGCTCTTTGTCTCCCCCAAATAGTTCCCATGATGGCTCCCTGCAACTGTGCCTGTCTTAGGTTGCCCCTGCCATTGAGGGGTTTTACCCATCATTGATTAACCAGCCATCCTGCGGGGCCAAACAGGATAATGTGCCAGGGGGACAGGTTTTGTCTCCTCAGTGGCCTATTTTCCTAAGGCCTCCTTGCTCAGCTCCAGCCTTGGGGCCTCCTTGCCTGTTAGCAAGGCTACAGTCCCTGAAACCAGGTGGGACGGTTCCCAACAGTTGGGTGCCTGAGATACAGAACAGGATGGTCCTAAAACCATGTGTCGGATAAAAATTGGGAGGGATATTTCGGCTGCAGGGATTCCCCCTGACGAACAAGGAGTCTCAGCCACACCAGGCCTCCACAGCCCAGGGTTCTGGTGCCAGAAAGAGAAGTCCCCACTTGTAAGTGTAAAAACCAGCAGAGTGCGCGGCTGAGTAAGGCAGAGAGCTCCTGGAGCCTCAGGTAGTTCCTCTTAAAGGGCCCAGGCATGGACTTACTCAGTTCTCTGAGGTCCAGCACTGGGGCAGCAGTTTGAAAGGCACGAGAGACATGGAGAGGACCTGAACTGTCTGGTAACAAGGCATGAGCTGGGGGTTGGACAGCTTTCTCCCAGACAGAAATGCTGGCAGAGGCCTTTTCTTTTGGTAAGCCTTGCCCCCCAGAGCTAGAGACTGGCACCAGATCTGAGTCTCCATCAACCTGGCTCACTGTTCTCCCCGCCCCACTCAAGCTATTTCCAGTGGGCTTTTCCAAATGAATGGCAATTGCAGCTCATGGTTCAGATTTTCTTAAAATCTCTCAGACAAGCAGCATCTGGCCCCAATGCGTCCTATACCACTAGCCAAGTGGCCTCAGGCCCACCACTTAACAGTAGCTGGCCTTGGTTCACAGCTAAGCCTTGCCTGGGTCCCTTCAAGCTGAGTAGTAGCAACCATCTGCAAATTGCTTTGTAGTTCAAACCAGGTGGCTCCAGGCAGAACACAGGTGGTGGCTGACCTTCGCCAGTACCTCCAGGGAGACCCCAGAGCTGGTGTACCCAATGGAAAGCTTCAGACCACATACATCAAAGTTCCACCATCCATCCACCTCCACAAGCAACACACTGAAGGGGCAGACTCAGTGGGCACAACCACCACTGAAGTCCTGCTCTGTCGGGTGAGCCCCTGTGCAGCCGGTCCTCCATGGTAGTCAGAGGTTGGTGGTCACAGCCAGTACTTGCAGCTGATGGCCTGGGGGGTAAATTCTTGCCATTGATGTGCCAACAGCTATCAAGGCTCAATTACAAGGTGTTCACAGCCCACATGGCGGGGCTACTGGAGGGGGCAGGCAGGCAGGCAGTGCTCCTGGAGTGCCAAGCATGGGTGATTAGGAAGGCTATGCCACTGTACCCTGCAGACCAAGCCCATGAGATATAGCAACTCTACCTCATACACAGGGAGGTAGCCAAAATGAGAAAGAGAAACATGTCTCAAAAGAAAAGCCTTTAGTAAAAGAACTAAACAAAGCAGAGACAATCTACTAGATTCAGAGTTCAAAACACTGGTTATAGGAATGCTCAATGAAGTTAAGAGAACTTCAACATCATAAAAAAGGGTCAGAAATTAAGAATACAACTACAATGAAGAATTTACAGGTAACCAACAGTATAGTAGATGAAACTGAGAATCACATCAGCAATTTAGAATATAAGGAAGCGAAAAACACCCAATCAGAACAGGACAAAGAATCTGAAAAAATGAGGATAAAGAGCCTAGAGGAGCCTTTGGACAACTTCAAGTGGATCAACATTCAAATCATAGGGGTGCCAGAAGAGACGAAGAAATTGAATACCTGTTTGAAAAAACGACAAGAAACTTCCCTAACTTGGTGAAGGAAGCAGGCGTGCAAGTCCAGGAAATGCAGTCCCAAACACGATGAATCCAGAGACCCGCACCAAGACACATCATAATTAAAATGCAAAATGTTAAAAGAATAAATAAAGCAAGAACACCCTGCAAGAGGAGTGTACTGGAATACAAGGAGGCAGTGAGAGGGGTGGAGAGTGCAAAGGGCATTTTAGGAACTAAGGCAGACAAGAGGATGGAACAGATCCAGGGTGTGTATATGCTGATGAGAGCTGGGCTTTTACTCTAAGAGAAGTCTTCCAATCTATGTACATGGGATGGTCCCATTCCCATTTGTCAATTTCCTTCACCAATGTTCTGTAATTTTCATTGTGCAAGTCTTTCATCTTCTTAATTCCTGAGCATTTTGTAATTTCCTTTTCAGATTATATAGATATGCAACTGGTTTTTATGTGTTAGCCTTGCATCCTGTTACACTGTTGTATTGATTAGTTCTGACACCTTTTTCTGTGGAATCTTCAGGGCTTTATATTATGCATGTATGATATACAGAACCTTGTGCTGAATGACTGATAACTTTCCAATAGAAGTAATTTGGAGTAGAGAGTATTTTGACTTGAAAGATTTTAGGACATACCTCATTCAATAGTTTCACAGAAACCAGAAAAAGCTTATTTTACAGTGAGCCCTAAAGGCCATTAAAAGGGCGAAGAGAGTTAAATTCTAGATAATCCAGAAACAGGTATCTAAACATACTAAGACTTCTATATACCAAATGTTGTTTTAGTTAACTACTCGAGTTGTCAGATACTAAAGAAACTTCAGACGGATTGGCTGAAATTCTCCACAGATGCAATGGAGAGGCCTAGTTGCTTTTATAACACTCCTTGGGAAATATGAGAGGAGATGGTGGGAGTTAATACCAGATTGTGTAGGCCCAATTTACTGTCCACTGCAAAGGTCTGGACTTTATCCAAAAGCCATGAAAGCTTTCATAAAGGTGTGTGCCTGATAAGTTTCTAAAAAATCAGTAGCTACAACATGTGCAGAACTAATGGAAGGTGGTTAAAGTGAGGGAAGAGATTACTCTAATTTTACACTATTCATGGTGAGACATGCTTGATCAGGGTACAGACAACGATAATGTTTAAAACCAC